CCAGTGCACGATTAATTCTGACATGCTTAAATAAGGATCCCTATTTAAATCTAGGGAGCTGCCAATTTGACAATGAATCATATTCTTAAGGTCATTTTTAAATTGAAAAATTTGAAACCACAATATTTTTCTATATAACATTTCCACAGCTGATGGTAAGGGTCTCAAGCTATCTAATAAGTGCTCATTCCGGTGATAGAAATAAAACTGAACCCCATGCCTCACTAGAAACCCCGAACCACTCTGAGATCAGGCCAATGCTTCGGTGAACTTTCCGTATCACTGAGAGGCGTTCCCAACCAGGCGGAAAGAAAGTCTTGGCACCAAAGAGGGGGAAGAGAGGACTCCAAGGGAAGGAGAATGTGCTGACGCAATGAAAATCCAGACCAAGGTTGGAATCTACAGTAGGATGAAGCCCAGGGATGGCTTTACTGGCAGAGGGTGTGAGGGAGACAGAGAAGACAGCTCTGCAGGAGGAAGGGGTGGCCGCAGGCAAAATGCACCTCAGGCAGCTGCCAGTTACAAGTGATAATCACAGACACGGAGATTTCCTAAAAATATTAGCCACTTATCAACCTCATGGAGGTTTGTGGGACTTTTGAGGGTGGAACTATAAAATAGCACAATACGAAAAGTAAAAGAATTAAAGTTCTTTAATAATTCTTCTAATACCCATTTTCCACTTCTGATAATAAACTGAATGTCTCACCCATTATTTAAAATTCTAGGCTCCTAGAGAGACGACCTAAGAATTTAAAATTCACAAGTATCAATGCAGTTTACAGATTAAAAATAATAAATTCGCATTAGCTTTGATTTTACCCCTTATTCAACCTATAACCCAACACACAGAACACCAGAGGAAGGTCCTGCATTTAACTCAGAACCCTGGGATGTATTCAGCGCTCTCTGAGCATCCCAAGACAGTGTCTGCAGGATGCCAGGCCGGAGCGCCACTCCTGAAAAACCACACTCACACCCCCTAGGCAGGGGGATGTGGGCTGGCTCCTGCCAAGACAGAAAAGCAGAGAGAGACTTTGGGTAGAAGAACTACTAAAAATCCCAAGCCACAGTGTTAAAGGGTAGATTTTGTCACAAGCATTGATTTAAAATAAAGCCCTGGCTACTGCCTCTGACAATGGCCTGACCTTGGGCAGCCACTGTCTCACGGACATCTTTGGACTTTTAGTTGTGAAATTGGCCAACGGACTATGCACCCAACTATCTATCTCACTTTTCATTGCAACTCAGTTCTGCATCCAAAACTTTCTGCCACCTCAGAATCCACCCCGGTGAAAAATTCCTGTCTACTGTCCTGTCCCTGCCACCTGTCTTCGGCCTTAGCAATAATCCTGCCAGGAAGCTGGATCGAAGTACAAGAGAGCTGGCTGTAGTCATCAGAGCGAGCACATCTGAAGATTTATCCAGAAAAGGAATAGATTCAAATTTATTCTAACATGACAGATTCTTTTATTTATATCATTTCTAATAAAATGCAGGCTTAAATAAAAAGATTTTCAACTATTTCCTTATTGATAGTTCAAACAAAATTCAATACAACTTCGTTCCACTATAGCAAGAGAAAAATAAACTCTAGAGTTTGTTTTAATTTAAACTTACCTGTTATGTGCAAGTTTAATTTGCATATATATTTCACAGATGAAGAGGCATTTTAAAAATAGATGATTACTTAGTAAATTAGGCATGTGGCCAAAATGATAAACTTTTAAAGAAAATAAACCACTTGCAGACAAGTAAATGCAAGTCAATACTATTGCTAAGATAATGATAAAGCATTCATATTTTTTCAAAAATAGGTACTGAAGAGAATTGCCATTCTTAGTTCCAATGAAATAATTATAACATCTGGATGAATTTCTCCCCAAAATGTTGTATATACTTCAGGTTGGTTTTTTTCCTAGCCTACTCAGTTAGGATTAACTATAATCCAAGGTATAATCAAAATATCTCTCTGGGGCTTTTCCACCAGAGCACCTATCACCTGCTCCCGTTTCATTAGATAAACCTCACTACTGGAGGTCAGCCTAGCCAACACTACCAGAGATGAGATTTGACTTCCACGAACATGTCTCATTCATTTCTGATCCTTCCCCAAATGGCACAGAGCTGTGTTCGTTGAATGAGAGAATAAATCAGAAAAAGACAGAAAGGCATTCAACATGTAATGATGTTAGATGTATTATATTAGTATACGTTCTATCATTTTGTTAGTAAGAAAATTAGCAGGAAGAACAAAAGGCCCATACCAATGCATTTCCAACGCATTCCTTTGAGTCAGTGAAAGCTACATGAAAGATTCACAAAGAAGAGCCAAAAGAAATTAATCTCCCAAATTATGCCTCCCCCACTGAAAACATGAGTTCAAGCTTGTCTCAGTACTTCTAAGAAAGGTCATGCTGTTGTATTCCTGTTATGACACGATATAAGGAAGAAAATAAGATGGTCTATTAGTTCTTTCCCCAAGAGAATTATTCTGGCACTGGAGTAAGTAACGAGAGATGATGGCCTAGGCAGTACAGAATAATGAGAAGGGGAACAGGGACAGAAGTTAGAAATAAATCACTTTATATTCTAAATGATTCACTTTCATAGGGTCATGCTAATAAGTCAGACTGACACTATGACAATAAATCAAGCAATCATGATGCAAAAGAAGCTATGTCTAGAATTATGGGTAAAAACTTACCACCTAGAAGGAAAATTTATTTTAAAAATGAATCCAGAAGAGAAAGATAAGAGAAACACATTTTCATATAGTTAGTTCTTATGTCAGCTACTACACATTCAACAGATTTAAAATAGTATGCATTATAAATAAGCATAAAAATTCTAATAAACAAAACCTAAACAATAGACAATCTTATGTAGAACACATTTATGAAGCAAAGCTGAGAACTAATAATCACCAAAAACATGATTTTGAATACACATTTACTTATATTTATAATTTTCTCCCTCTGATATATAATCCTGCCATTTCAGACAATTGTTAATTATGTATGATTGGCATAACTCAAGGTAATATTAAAATGTTCATTTAAATAAACTCTCTCTTATCTTGTAGTTGTCAAAAAGAAGTGTGATGCTTCATTAATCTCCTTTCAAATCCTAAAAAGTGGTCTGAAGACAAAGCCGGAGCAAATCGAGATCTGTGGTTCTGACCCCAGGGTGCCCATGGCTTGTTTGAACATCAAACGTCTGAATTATCTGAATAAATAATAAACCTCACACCTTTATTTACTGGTATTTCAAATTATTGTGATTAATAAGATACATGTTTATTTGAAAGTATTTTTAAAGCATCAGATTTTAATATAAACAAATCTCCCCAAATCTAGCAACTTCCATAGAAGTTCTATTAGATACTCAACCTTTAAATAAGAATTGAACTGCTACTGATTTTTATTTCTTCATTACACATTTTCTCAGTCAAGAGACACTAAATACACAATATTGATATGTAGATGAGACCTCAAAATATCTGATATGAACTTTCCTCATTCTGGGATCAATGTTATGTGTGGACAAGCCTACACAAACTGTCTCCTCTGGCTGAAAGTCAGGTAAAGAAATTGAGTGGGAGGAAGAGAAGGGGGCAGGTTGCAATGTTATCACAGGACAGGCAGAGCAGAAGGCCGTGAACCCTGCTTCACTGGTAACGGGGAAACAGAGGTCAGGACAGTCTACTGACTGGTCATCCCTGTAACAAGTTGGATGAATATTAGATTCTGATACTTACTTCAAGGTTTGAGTTGCCGGGAAACCAGTACTTTCATTTCCCCAAGACATATTATGGCTCTATTGCCCAAGAATGTCCACTGCAAGCATCTGCACTTTCAGTCTGTATGGCCTCTGCACACGTTACATATGTCTACAAATCACTTAGGTGCTCTAAATTCACCTCTTGCAAATTACAAAAGGAACTTCATCGTGAAATATTGTGAGGTCTGTGAGGATAGTGCTGAAATTATGATTCTATCACTTTATCTCTCTACTTGCCTGATGGTAGAACCCTTTTCCCCTCAATCCATCTTAATGGCCCCATACAGTTGCTTTTTGCCTTTCTTAAAGAGGAGCACCATAGTTTTAAATTAGAGAATGATATGTCCTATTGGAACAATAGAACACATTTGGACTAATATTTAATTTTTAGTTCCTTTAAAGTGATATTTTTAATTGTATGGTGTGATCTAGACACTTTAATTACAAGAAACCTGATTTTCTCTTCAAAATAAATGAACCCGGGACTATGAAATAATTATTGTGCTAAGTATACACTGACTTATATTTAACTAAAACATTTTCATTTTCTCTAATATGAACAGTTTAAGTTAATGCTAAAATTCCATGTCTATCAAAGGTGAAAGTTTATAAACATAATTATGGATTTAAGCTTATCCTATATTGTAAACAGAAGATAAGAAGGTAATTATATTATTTTGCTATTTCAACTAGTTAAAATATCAGGTAAGTTGAGGAGTGCAAAAAAGACTGAGTTCTCAAGAATTATTACTGTGTTTAGTAAAAATATACTCAACGTTTTCAGATCTAACTTATATCCTCCCTTCCCATCATAAAATATCAGCCCTAATAACTAACCAAAAACCAAACCAAAACAAACAAAAATTAAAAAGTAAAAGCTTTGCCTCTGCCATCTAGTGGAGAAAGAAGACCAGACACAATTCCAGACACGATGACAATATGGTATTCACTTAAAATACCGTAGGGTACATTAAGAACTAAAGTTGCTTTTTAAAAATAGCACAATACACATAAACTCACAGTTTACTAAAATCATAAATTATGCTCTATGCTAGAATGTGAAATGTTATTTCTTTTTCCAAAGATTTACGTTTACTTACCTGCCATGAAGAGAATGAGAGAAAGGGAGGAAGAGAATAAATGTGTCTGAACATGAAAGCAAAGATAAGCCCAAGATATTTTGGATTGCGGTAAGACAGCCCACACCGTACACTTACATGGCCATGGAGATCCGTGTTGAGAAGCATCATTGCACAGGTGAGGCAGTGGACTCCATCTAAGGAAAGAGAGAAGAACAGAAAGCGTTAATCCACTATTTCCTCTTGGATTCCTATTATCACGAAATAGCACATATTAAGAACTTATGAAAGCACAACACTGTAGCTAGGCACAATTAATCATATTTGGGGAGACAGAAATTAAATAAGAACAAATTAAAAAGACCTCAGTGCACAGAGTTGGACTCTACTGGATAAATTAAGTTATGTCTGCCTCTCAGGAAGACAATTTGATGTCCATATCTTTAAGCTTTGAAACAATGTCCTTTGACACAGCAAATCTACTTCCAGGGCTTACATTAAAGAAATAAAAATCTACACAAAATGCAAGGATATTCAAAGAAACATTGCTTACAACAGGGAACAAGTAAATATGGCCCTCCAAAAACATAGTTCTGCTAGGTTACATTGTCCAATTATACATGCTGAAGTGGAAAGATGATTTCACAATAAGTTATTATATGCAAAACAAATACGCGGTATCATTCCATTTAAATACAGTATAAGTACATCTAGAAGACTATATAAGGTAATATTAAAAGAGATTATCATCTCTGGAAAGTGAGAATATAATTTTTATCTTTTTATTTATATCTTCTCAATTTTCTTTAATACAAGATATGAAAATGAAAATAAATCATTTAATACTATTCCTTTTAACTTCTGGGAGGAAAGTGAATTAGGAAAGAAGTAAAAGTTAACATGATTTGCGTCTTCCACATTTCACTGGGTATTAGTTCTCTGGCTAACAATATACAGGCAGGAATAGTTATCCTCTTTCTTGACATTCTTTAAAGAAAACATTTAGGCTGAATGGTTTAAGATCCTATGAATCAGACAAAAGTAAAATACTGAAATAATCTGTGAAAATTTAAAAATGAAATGTTCAGGGGTGAAAAGTTGCCTGAACCAGAAGGATTTCACACTTATATAAAAACATCACTTTTCTTACTTTACATATGCATTAAAAAAAGAAAAAGTACTGAGTTAAGCTTCTTGTTTCCAAGTCTAGAATTAGTTTTGCTCCTGATTCTCTCCCTGCAGTTCTCAATCCAAGTGCAGTACACCATGGCAGCTGCAGATTCAGGAAGATCTTATCCATTTTACTACATTTACAGAAAGGCCTGTCCAGTTACTGAATTTGTGAATTAAAGACAGCATATTTTCCACAGTGTAACTTTAAGTATAGTATGAGATTTCTGCTTTTAAAGTCTCTAGGTAGATGCTAATAAATACCTAAAAGAATATTTATTTCATTTTCAGTTTACGATAAAAAATTCTAAATGCATTTAAAACAAATTCCCGAAAGTATCTGTTAAACTTGGCAACCAACTCTCAAACATTCTTACCAACTCTCAAATATTCTTACCATTTGAATGCACAAATCTAAATTCTGTTTCACTCAGGAATGTCATGTCAGCATCTTAGATTTGAAGAAGGCTCTAATAAAAACAACCCTCTTCTACCCCTGGCATTCTCTACTCAATGCTGACAGTGATAGAGATGGTGACTACATGGCCTAAATATAGTCATTTATTTCAGAATGTGTAACCTTATAGAAGATTCACCAATGGCAAGTAAATGTGCTTGACTTCAAACCCTGAAAACTTTGCTTCATTGTAGGAATTGAAATGGAGAAAAGACCACTCTTCATAGGGTACATCAACAACTACAGTTGCTTTTTAAAAATAGCACAAAAATATAAACTCACAGTTCATTAAAAGCATGAACCAAAGTTAGTGTTCAGTGTTATTTTGATGACTATCAAACAAAAGCACCAGAGACACATCATAGACTCCAGTGAGATTTGTAAATATTTCCAAAACTAACCCAAAACTAAGTACACATGCACTTTATCAAGAAATTTAGCCCTGGTCGGTTTGGCTCAGCAGTTGGAGCATTGGCCTGCAGACCCGAGAGTTCTGGGTTTGGTTCCTGCTAGGGGCACGTACCAAAAAAAAAAAAAAAAAAATTTAAAGATCAGATACTTAGAAAAGAGGAAATAGAAGAACTGGGATTTCACTTATCACAATCCATTTGCACATAAAATCTCAGCATGGCAAAGCGTAAGCAATTTAAAAAATATTACCATGCTATGGAACTGGAAAATAGAGAAAAATAACTGAAAGGGGAGTAAAGAATACTATGCATCAATAAATGCCAGGTTTTTTAAAGAATATTTGATGAAACAAGAAAATGCTCACAATGAAAGTAGAAAACAACTCTCAACTGATTCCAGTTTGACGTTAGATAAATATTATACAGATAAGACTAGAAAGAAGTAAATCTGACTTTATAATAGGTATCTCTAGATAGAAATATTTAGATGATTTTCATTTTCTTTTGTATAATTTCCATATTTTCCACAATCGTATGTAACTTTTATAATAAGGAAAATAACCCTTAATTATAAAACAGAAATTCAAGCATTTACATCAGATTACCTTGTGAAGCAATGGTATCCGGGTTACAATAAAAATATCTATTGGAGAAGTGTACTAAAACTCTCTCTCGTTCTTGAGTTTCTCCCGCAAGAGAAAATGCTTTAAAGAAATACCTAAAAAAGAATTGGGGTGGGGGAAGTAAAATTTTAGAAAATGTTACCACACTCTTTATGTTTGACAGTTAAAGTTAATCCATATAAGCATAAAAAAATTAATTATACAAATTAAGATACTCTGCAGTTATTTTTTAAAAAATCATAAATTTATATTGACATTTCAATGCTCTTAAATGTCAATGTAAAAGATGACGGCAATAACGTGGTGGCCAATACTTCAAGCCTTGGAAAGGGAGGCAATTTCCCCATATGACTATGTGTTAAGTAGCCATTTACAAAGATCAGCCCTGGCCAGTTTTGCTCAGTGGTTAGAGCGTCTGCCCGAGGACCAAAATGTTGAGGGTTCGATTCCAGTCAGGGGCATGTACCTTGGTTTCGGTTCAGTCCCCAGCCCTGGTCGGTGTCATGCAGGAAGCAACTAATCGATATGTCACTCTCACATTGATGTTTCTCTCTCTCCCCTTCCCCTAGGGTGAAGACTTAAAAAAAAAAAAAAAGATCAATTGGATAAAAACCAAAGAACTCTTAAGACTAAACGCAAAACCATGTAGCTATGTTTTAAAGTTCTACGTGGATCACAGTTTTTTTTGTCATTTTGTTACATGACCGTAAGTGCCACTGTTAAAATTATAATTACACTGCCTCATATGCAGATTTCAGTTAATTTTACTTTACCCACTGGCATCACATTATTTGTTACATGGGAAGGAAATTGAGAGATAAAACTCTAATTTATTCCATAAATTGGGAATAAATTAATTTGTGTATAAAACTTCTTTGAACAACAGAAAATATGCCCAGAACCACACCCTAAGTCAGAGTCACTGGGAAGACTGTCTATTATAGGAAAATCTAGATGTGCCTCACTTGACAAACTAGATTCAATCTCGAAACATGAGATGGGAAGGAAACAAATCATTTAAAAAGCTCTAAGAAATCGTATATTGAAATCTTACTACATTCAATAAACCTTGTTTGCTGTTCTCCTTATAGTTTGTTAATCTAAATTATACTGATCAAACTTTAATTGTTTCTAATGTTTGTTTTTTTTCATAAACCACACAAGAAAGCAAAGCAAAAGCAAAGCAAAAACATAGATCTCTCTTCCACCTTATCTGTTCTCACTGCAAAATCTATGAGTATCCTTGACTCAAAGAGCCACAGAAAAAGTCACTGTGTTCATTATAATCCAATTGTCCTCACATCACCTCCCATGCTTCAGTCTCCTGCTTTGTAAAACAAGAAGGTTACAAAGATGATCTCAGAATTCCTCCAGGCTCTGACATGTTATAAACTTCATTAGATTAGATGCTAACTGGGTTTAACCTTCAGCTGCTCTTAGAAATGTACAGTACAATATGGTGTGAAGGTGAGGACCTGATTGTTTAAGACACCTTCATTTGAACAGATCAGCAAAAAGTGTTACTGCCTGACACACTTTTACAGATAGTTTCTTTTGATTATGTTGATACTCATTTTTATTCCATTCATGAGTTAATTCCTAAGTATCGTCTTAAAAGGCTAACTGGTATTGTAAAGAAAAGCTTAGGAAAAATATCTAAAATTCTACAGTCTGTAAAGTGCCTTTTTAAAATCTGATCATCTGAAAACCCAATCCCCACGGATTCCATTTCTCCTCAAGACTTATGCCGCCGCCATTCTTTACTATGTCACCTAGTAGATTCAGAATGAGGTCGCGTGATTTCATAAAACCAACATATTTTTCTCACTTTCTACTATGTTTAATATCTAAGATACAATCTGAGCTAAATTCACAAAGTAACTGTGGGTTTTAAAAAATAAAACCCAGATTTTGGCTTCAGCACATTACTTTCTCTTCTTTGGAGACATTCTATGGAGGCTAAAGGAATAGAAGTTTAATCGTACCTGAGGGACTGGTCCAGCGTCATTCCTGTAAAATCAAAAAACTTCAGATATTCTTCTGCAACTAGTTTGCTAAATTCATTGCTATAAGAAAACAGAATAGACTTGGTTATTGCTATCAATTAATTCTCTCTCTCTCTCTCTCTCACACACACACACACACACACACACACAAAACGGCCTTGGGAGAGACGTACTTCTTGCCTAGGTGCTTTGCGACATCTGATCTTTTGAATCTGTCTAGATGATAAAGGCGTTTGGCCAACCTTTTGGCTGCTTCTAAGTTGCTGCTGGTGCCATTACTGAGACTCTCTGGGGGCTCCTTTTCCAGAATTTCAGTGTTCCCCATTTCAGGGTGATCCTCTATCAGTGCTGTTTTCACCCCAGCATGGCTGTGGGAACTGAAAAAGAAGGGAAATAGAAGATTTTTCTTGTGTGACAAAAAGGAAAATGGCTGATAAAATTACTATGGTATTGTAGAGCCAATTAAATAAAGAACTATTTTAAATGAGACTGTTTTATGCTTAATTATTCATAAAAATTTATTCAGTTACTATATTTCAATGTACCAAAGAAGTAATTGCTTAAACCCTGAATGAGAAGTTATCAACCTTTTGGTTTCAGGACCTTCACATTTTTAAAAGTATGGAGGACTCCAAAGACCTTTGCTTATATGGGTTATATCTGTTAACATTCACTATATTCGTAATTAAAATAGAAAAATTTCAAATATTAACTTATTTTAAAATAATCTATTTCATGAATACAAATAATAGGTTTTTATTAAAGATAACTATATTTTCCAAAACAACATAAATTTTAGTGAGACAAGCAACTGTGATTTACATTTTTTACAAATTTCTTCAATGGCTGGCTTACTACAGGACAGCAGCATCCTCATAGCCACTCTGACAGTCAATCTGTGACAATATATTGTTTTGGTTGAAATAGATTAAGAACATTTAGCATCACACCGATATTTAGTTAATTTTAATATCCTTTTCAGATAATTATAGCTATTGTTTTCTGATAATGACACCAAAATAAGTAGTAATTTCTTAAAGGTTAGTTGCAATATAGAATCTAACATTGAATCAATGAACTTGTTGTACTCATATTAAAATCTGTCTTAAATTTTGAATGGATCTTTTACCCAGGGATGATTCTGCAACATGCAGTGGTCATTTGCAAAATATTTGTTGACACATTTCATTATACAATATGAAAAAAAAAATCACATTCATTAATGTTACCACTAAATATTCAGAAAAGTAAGTATTGGGAAGCTATCAAACTTTTGGTATAGATATAAGTTTTCCCAACTTCTAATTTTTTATTGAAAGCTCACATTTTATTATTGGCAACAAAAATTATCAGTTGTTTCTTAAAGTAATAGGCTCAGCTCACTCTATTAATTTCCTGGAAAATGTCTGCCAGTAACATTTCTTTGGAGAAATTCTATGGAGGCAAGAGGACAGAAGATGAATCGATTCTACTTGTTGTGCCCGAAAGGGGGCTATCAGGACAGGGGGAGAAACAGGCTATCACAAATGCTTTGAGACTCAATCAACTAGGTGAAAATTCTGTTCTCTGCACATGCCAACTCACACCATCCAGAAGAGACTGAGGAGAAGCTGGAAATACAAGAGGGAGGCTCATCAAACCCATGACAACTTATTTTACTGCAACTACTCTGATACTACTTCAGTTTCTTAAAGTCAAAGTCAAGTGCTAAAGTGTAGTCAATTCCAGGACAACAGACACAAACTGGAACTGACCCAGGAAAACCAGGATGTTTGGTAACCTCCTTAAACAACCAGACACCTTAAACAACCTTCCAGCAGAAATACCCACCAACACAATAAATTGCTTCATCATGATGAAATTTTCATGCAAATACATTTAAATGTTTTCATCCTAAACCTTCCTTTAGAGAGTTCACATTACCACCAGTTTCGTAAACGTGTATCTTATCAGAAAACTGAATATTTAATTATTATATATGGCAAACCTATAATAAGTAAATTCATTGAAGGAATTTCTTTTAAAAATAACTCAACTTGTGTCTACTCACATAAGTGGTAGAAATGTAAAATATTTACTCCGAGAACTATTTTAGTTAAAATCAAGTAATTTTTATAAATTTAAAAGAAAAAAAAAAATCCCTGGAGTTGTGTTCCCATACATTCTCTCACTCTATATATTAGCTGTCATGTTGAAAAAAAAATAAATGTCAAAGATAGAATTTTCTCAGTTAAACTGATACTTATTGTTAATTTCTCAGGGAAAATTCATAGCATATACTTAACCATTCCAGGCAAACATGTAATTATACCATATACATCGTACAGCAAAGATTTTGTTCAGAGACAAGCATGTATTTTTTTTTAATGTAGTGGCCAAAATCATTCCTATTGCTCATGGTCTTCATTCCTCACACTTGCCTCCTCTAGCCTAGGCCGGTCCAGTTCTCCCCTTCCTCACATTCACCAGAAGGTGGTAATACTGAAATCTGTAGGCATCAGACTCCTCAGGATTTTCAGTAAAAAAGAAAATTAGAAATAAAGTGAGGTTTAATACCTCCATTCCTAGAGGGCTTCATTCTGTCCCATTTCATAATTTATGAGATCATGCGAGTAAGAACAGAGATTACTCCTTTTGAGTCAGCAAGTCTGTGAAATGATGGCAATACAAACTCACCAGCAATAAGACAGACACCAGGACAAGCTCATCATGGAGCCCGGGGTGCGTGTGGGCCATACTTCCTCTTCTAAGCCCCTTCCCAGTACCCATCCGCCCACAACTCCAGTCTGCTGGTCGTCTAGGGATTCCAAAGAACTGGCTCCCTGTGAGGTCACATTACTATGACCTCACATTCTCAGCAGAGTGTTTATTGTTGGGGTTTTTGTAGCCTCAATAAAAACAGGAGCCAGAACACAGGGGCCACTGTACAGGAAGAGCATAAACAACAATGGCAGCCCAGCCTTGTTCACACTGGCTCAAGCCCAGTGGACGATCCCTCTCAGTGAGGATGGCATTTTGTTTCCTGGAATACACAAGACACTGTCCACTTAGTCTGTTGAATATTAGATGCTTTCGATGGTTGAATCTTCCCTTTTCTATAGTTCCATTTTTCTTCTTAGTAATCTCACAAGGTGAAACCCCTACTAGTGACTTAAATATAGAAAACACTTCCCAAAAGCTTCTCCCTGTGTTCTACCAAACGCTGTGCTGGGACCTGTCCCTCACATCTCCAAACAAACATGGTAACACTCTTTCCAGGAAAAACCAGGGTCAGATCACTGATTCTGACCACCAGGCCTTTTCATGACCTTCTTTCTTCCTTTTTAATCATACTACAGTTAGCAGATTTTCCAAATAAAAGTAATAGGACACCCAGTTAAATCTGAATTTTAGAAAAACAAAAAAATAGTTTTTTGCATATTTCAAATAGTATGGGAATACTGAACACCAAAATATTATTCCTTGTTTATCTAGAAATTCAAATTTAACTGGGCATCATCCTATATTTTTTCTGGTAACACTATCTCCTGAAATGTTTGCCCTTGACTTTATATGAAGAATTCCAATACTGGTGTTCTCTGACTGTGAATTGGCAGTGTGTTTCACAATCATGCTACCTTCTGAGTTTGTTTTGACTTGTTTCTGCAATTAAATTTTTATTCCTACTATTTTTCTACAGATTTATCAAGACCTTCTCTAAGTTGCCTAGGACCCCACTGATTCTTTTCTAAATACAAAAGGAAAACGCTGTTTTCTCTGCGTGTTTACCCACTCACACTTTTTCCCTAGTCTGCATACTGTCACCACAGATGTGATAACATCCCTCCTACACAAGAAAAATGCATATTCTGTGGCATGTCACATAAGGCCCTTCAGAAGCTGACCCCAACTGCTCTTTCAGATTTATCATCTCCCACTGTCCTCATGCATGGGCCACACAGATATATTACCTGTGTTCTCACATCCCTTTCACATGTTTGCCACTCTTGTTACCCCTGCCCCAACATTCTGCAAACTTTTACTGATCCTATAAGAGCCCAGGTGAAATAACTACTTTTTTCTCTTTTTTTAAATATGTTTTTACTGATTTTCTAGAGAGAAAGGGAGGGAGAGAGAGATAGAAATGTCAATGTGTATACCAGATATCAGGTTATACTACAAAGCGACTGTAATCAAAACAGCCTGGTACTGGCACAAGAACAGGCATATGGACAAGTGGAACAGAATAGAGAACCCAGAAATGGACCCAAGGCAATATGCTCAATTAATATTTGACAAAGGTGGCAAGAGCATACAGTGGAATAAAGACAGCCTCTTTAATATATGGTGTTGGGAAAATTGGACAGTTACATGCAAAAAAATGATACCAGACCATCAACTTACACCCTACACAAGAATAAACTCAAGATGGATAAAAGACTTATATGTAACCCGTGAATCCACAAAAATTCTAGAAGAAAATGTAGGCAACAAAATTTCGAACATCATATGCAGCAGAATATTCACTGATACATCACCTAAGGCAACAGAAACAAAGTAAAAAATGAACACATGGGACTACATCAAACTAAAAAGCTTCTGCACAGCAAAAGAAACAACCATCAAAATGCAAAGGCAACCCACTGTATGGGAGAACATCATTGCCAATGATACATCAGATAAGGGGTTAATTTCCAAAATATATGGAGTACTCATAAAACTCAACAAAAGGAAGACAAAGAACCCAATTAAAAAATGGGCAGAGGACCTAAATAGACACCTCTCCAAACAGGACATACAAATGCCAAGAGACATTTGAAGAAATGCTCAACATCACCAGAGAGATGCAAATTAAAACAACAATGAGGTATCACCTCACACCTGTCAGAATGGCCGCCATCAACAAATCATCAAACAATAAGTGTTGGCGAGGGTGTGGAGAAAAGGGGATTCTAGTGCACTGTTGATGGGAATGCAGACTGGTGCAGCCACTATGGAAAACAATATGGGGTTACCTCAAAAAAATTAAAAATTGAACTTCCATTTGACCCAGTGATCCTGCTTCTAGGACTATACCCTAAGAAGCCTGAAACACCAATCAGGAAGAATATATGTACCCCCATGTTCATAGCAGCACTATTTACAATAGCTAAGATATGGAAACAGCTCAAGTATCCATCAGTAGACGAATGGATAAAAAAGCTGTGGTACATATACACAATGGAGTACTATGCAGCTGTAAGAAAGAAAGATCTCTTATCCTTTGAGATGACATGGAGGGACCTGGAAAGTATTATCCTAATTGAAACAAGCCAAGCAGAAAAAGACAAATACCACATGATTTCACTTATATATGGAATATAATGAATATAACAGTCTGAGGAATAGGGTAGACCCA